CCCATCCCCCTCCCGCCAGCAGCCCCGCGGCCCCCGCGCTAACCCAGCCCGCTCTCCGTCCCTCCCCCGAGCCGCCGCCGCCGCCCGGATCGCCCGCCCCGGCCCCGCGGAGGCCTCGCCCGCGGCGCCCGCCCCTCCCGGCGGCCGCCCCCTCGCCCCCGGACCCCCCGGACCTCCCCAGCCGGCGGCCCCGATAGTCCGGCCCGGCCCAACGCCGGGCTGCGGGGAGCTGGGCGGCGCGTCCGGCGACTCGCACAGGAAAGCGGCGGCGGCGGCAGCGGAGGGAGGGAGGGAGCGCGGGAGGGGGTGGGGAGGGAGGAAGAGGGAGAAGGAGGGAGCGCGGAGGAATGGGAGAGGGGCCAGAGGGAGACGCCAGGGAGGGAGGGAGGAAGGAGGAGGGAGCGGCGGCAGCGGTGAGGAGGAGGGAGGGGATCGGAGGGGGAAGCGCCGAGCGAGTTGGCCCAGACCGAGGCCGAAGGGGCCCAGGGTGCGGGGAGGGGTTCGCCTGGGCGGAATGTGGGGAGCCTGCGGGCCTTGGCACCGGGGAGGGCCGGGGAGGGAGGGGGCTGGGGGTTGTGAGGGTAGATTTGCTAGAGACAGAAGTTTGGGGGCAAAGGGGTTTGTGGCAGAGGTGGGGTGGGAGGTGGCGAGGCAGAGTGGGGTGACAGGGTGAGATTGGGAAGCTGCAGCTGCATGGGGGCCTCGGGGGCCGTGAGTGTGTGACAAGAAGAAAGAAGCCTGGGAGATGGTGTCTGTGGCAGACATGTAGGGGGAGGTTGGGGAGGCAATTATGAGAGAACGGGATGCAAGTTTGGGGTCAAAGGTGGAGAAGAAATTGAAAAAATGGAGACATGTAGGAGGATGGGGTTTCTGCAAGAGAGCAGAGTTTGGAGTTTGGGGGTGACTGGTGTTGGCAAAAGAATAGGAAACAAGAATTTGGGGATGATGAAGAGAAGACAAGTTCAGAGATGCCAGCTTGGAGAAAGGAATGCATGAGAAACCTTAGAGGTGACAGGGGTGGGGCCAGGAGTCGGTTCTGAAGATGCTGGGGTTCTGGGGGTGAAGGGTTTCCAAGAGAGCTGAGGATTTTGATTGGCTAGACAAAGTAGATAGAATGGCGGGGGTGCGGAGGGGGTGAAGCTTGGGAGGATGTGTAAGATAAGCAGGGCCTTTGATGGCCTAATGGAAGACGGAAGGTCGGGATGCAGAAGACAACAGGGGAAGGGAAAGGAAAAGGAAATGAAGAAATGGGGAGGGCAGGCTCTGGTGCAGGGAAGAGATTAACTCATAGGAGTGGGCCACCATCCTCAGGCCCTCTGTCCGGTGGTGTCTCCTTTGAAGTCATCACTGTTACTTGGGGCCCCAGGGAAGGGATGGGGTAGGGATTAGTCTCAAAAAGGAGCCAAATCCCCAGGTGCCCGGTTCCCTGATCCCAATCATTCTAATGTGGAGACAACCCCCACCACAGGCCCGAGGCGCCTTCTCCTCCCTCACTGCTCTCCAGGAGGGCAGCCTCCACACGGCCAGTCTGCCCGCCATTCCCAGTCTGCGGCCTACAGCACCCCCAGCAGTCCACCACCAGTGTCTTCTTCTGGGCTGGCTCCCTGCCCCACTCCAAGCAGCAACATCTCCCAGGACAAAGGACACCAAGACACTGGTTGGATTTTGGCAGCCGAGATTGCCAGAGAATGGGAGGGAGGCAGGCTGGGAAACAGGAAGAGCTGGGGCTGGAGTCTGGATTGGGAGCCCACGACAGCTCTCCAGATTTGGGGTGGGGGTAGGGGACGTGTGCGGCCAGGACAGCTAGAGGCCAAGGGTGGGCCCTCGATGGCAGGATCCCACCAGCCTTCTGGGAAGGAGGTTGGCTCTGTATCAGCTCCGTAGATTTTGCCTCATATTTCCTTGGGCCGGGCTCAGCCAAGTTCTAGGAATACCCAGAAGCTCCAGCCGGATTCTAAAGCACCGGGGACCCTGGACAAGAGGTTTCCTTGGCCTAGGAAAGAATCACACCACTCTTTTGTCTCTTCAATTGATTGATACTTTACTACCCCATGCCCACCTTCCTTATTCCTCAGGGCCCTCAAGGGCCAAAGCCAACTCCCCCTTCCAACTGCCTCCCCCCCCCCCAGTACCCTAGAATAGCTCCTGCTCCTCCCCACCTCCCAACTTTGCTCCAAGACTCCACCCCCCTCATCCCCCTCCCTATTGCATTTCCTCTCTCTCTCACTCTCTCTCTCTCTCTCTCTACCTCTCAGTTTAGTCTCCCACTGGATCCTGGCCGCGGCCTTTTCCAATTCCCTTCCAGGCTGCATTCTCTCTCGTTTTTAACCACTAAGGGATGAATTAGGATGGTGACACATCTAAGCCTGAAAGAAAAACTTAAGCATAGGTAGGAACAAAAGATGGGGAGAGTCAGAAGAAAAGCCAGAGTCTCTACCCTCCAAATCCTCCCCTACCTGAGGGCCAGGCTGACAATTCAGCTTCAGGGAGCATCACACACACACACACACACACACCACCATCACCACCACCCCTCACCCCAGCTCCCTCTCCAGCCCCAGCCCCCCCAGGACCCACTGGTCTCCAGGCAACGGCACAAAGGGAAAGTGGAGAGAAGGGCTTGGGAAGCCCAGGCAGAGCTAGCTGTAACTCAATCTACCCAGTACCTGGCCCGGACCTGGGAGGGTGGGGGGGAGGTGACTGCAGAGAAGGTGATATAGTGAAGAGGGAGAAAAGGGGCAGCAGATAGAAAATGTGGCTCCAACCAGAATAGGCCTGGTTAGTCCAGGAGTTACTAAGGAAAAATAACTCCAATGCACCCCAGAGAAAACCAAGAGGCACAAAGGAAAGTATAGTGTGCCCCCAAGGGAAACAGAGAAGGTGCCAGGAGACTCAGGAGAGAAGGGAAAGATGAGATGCCCACACTGAAACGAAGAGGCACGGAGGAGAGGGTGCACGTTCTCTGAACGGCAAATGGAGGACGCATCGGTGACACAGGAAGGACAGGGCAGAGAAATGGGTTCTGTCCCTGCGGAACTGGAATCTTCTTGTCCTGGAGCTGGGCAGGATGGCAGAGGGATCCCAGGACCAGGACTCAGAGTGGGAGGGAGGCCCACAGAGGGGACAACCTTGAAATTCCTCCCGCCTACCTTTAGCCAGGCTGCTGGGTGTCCTGCAGAGCCTTGCCTCCCTCTAGTGGCCAGAGCTTTCCACAGCCCCTAGTGTTCAAAGCAGAGGGGGTGCGGGGCCCCACCACCCCCACCCCCCCACCCCCCACCCCCGGGGTTCCTGGGTTCCCATCTCGGTGCTGGGCCTTCACAGGAGCTGAAGAGTTGTGTATCTTAGCCACCCCCTGGCATCCTACTTGCAGGCTGACTCAGCAGCGGGGGAGTTTTAGCCCATTGGGCACTACAGCTCCTGAATGTCCAGTTGACTGGAGGCTTTTTCCTCAGGCCCCCTTCTGCAGCCCCTGGTACATCCCTCCCTCCCGGTTCTCCACCTCGCAGGGAACGATGGCCATGCCATGCTGTTCCGTTCCAGAAGCGTCCAGGATTTGGGTTGGAGAGGCTCACTATGGGAGCTGCTCTGGTTCATCTATTTTTCCCTTCCTCTGTCAAGGCTCTTTGGCAATCTAAAAACACTTTGGCCACCTTTTCCCAAAAAAGCACATTTTTGGTGATTTTAAGAATTCCTGCACCAGATTAAGAACTGTTCATTTATGCCCTAACCGGTTTGGTTCAATGGATAGAGCGTCAGCCTGCGAACTGAAAGGTCCCAGGTTCGATTCTGGTCAAGGGCATGTACCTTGGTTGCGGGAACATCCCCAGTTGAGGGTGTGCAAGAGGCAGCTGATCGATGTTTCTCTCTCATGGATATTTCCAACTCTCTATCCCTTTCCCTTCCTCTCTGTAAAAAATTAATAAAATATATTAGAAAAGGAAAAAAGAACTGCTCATTCAGCTGGATCCTGGGGCCAAACTTTTGCTGAGAAGGCAGGGGGAGCGTGGCCCTCACCTGGCTAGGGTGGGTAGGCAATGTCATCATCTTGGACACATTTATTTGTCTTCCTCCTCTTGTGCCCTCCCCAGCTCTGCTATCCAGTTTCACCAGCTTCCTTCCCAGGACTCCATCTTCTCTCCCCTCGTAGGAACTACAGTCAGACTTCTCAGACACAACAACGCACTGTGATTCAGACTTTAATGGTGCTGCTCATTTCAGTGTCAGAGGTGGTGGGAACTGGAACATGGCATGGTGGGAGCAAGACATTGCTCTGGGGCAGCTGGAGAAAGAACAGGGAACACAGGGCTGGGAAGAGTTCCGGGGAAGAGTGCTGGGCGCACAGCCCCATCTCTGGCCCCAGCAAGCTTCTGTGAAGGGCTGCTACACACAAAGGAACTGCCAGCAAAGGCCCTTTTCTGTTCCCCCTCCGCATTCCAGCAAGACTTCCATCCCAGACCATCTCAGAATCTCAGCCATATGAAATACACAGCCCCCTCCCGTCAGGCCAGTGTTTGGCCCTGGAATCATGAGGAAATGATTAATCAACACAATCCATGAAAAATAAATAAATAACACACTAAGACCTTAGGCCAGGCATGCCCAAGCAGCCAGATCCTCCCTCCACCTCAGCACCAGGCAATGCCTGGTTCATCTGCAACATGGGAAACACGTGGAACAGGCGCAAAGCACCAGTGACACATGGCCCCTCCCTGAACACCTCAGCAAGCAACCCTGATGCTCCTGTCAACAGACCCTGACCATTCTTCCACGGACCCTCTCACCACCCTCAGTCCTGTGGCCCGTCTTCGGGGAGAGAGGAACGGAAGGAGACGTGAAGAGAGCGGAACCCAGATGGGGAGAGTAGAGAGCAGGGGTGGGACAAGCCCAGGAGCAGGGCGGCGGGTCAGCCAGGGTGTGTCTGGGGTGAGATATCACAGAGCAGGACAGGAAGGGGGTCCAGGAGGGTGGAGGGGGTCCAAGGCTCCAGGAGAGGAGAGGGCTCACAGCACGCTGGGATTGCGGAAATTGTGTCCGGCGAAGCGAGCTTCGTCTCCCAGCTCTTCCTCAATTCTGAGAGAAATGAGCCAGAAAGGAAATGTCAGGGATGCAGGAGGTCTTCAATCTCCAAGCCACTCACAACCCCCAGGTGGCTCCCCTGTCCTGGCCCAAGTGTGGGCCTTCTCTGTCTCTCCCATGTGACCTGTGGGATCCACCCATCAGGCCAGTAGTCAACCCATCTTTCAAAACTGTTCTCTGGATATGGAATGGGGGGCAAACAGAGCTTTTAACCCTGGGCCCTGGGCTCCCATTCCCCAGTTCCCTCACCTCATGAGCTGGTTGTACTTAGCCAGACGCTCAGAACGGCATGGGGCGCCAGTCTTAATCTGAAACATCAGGAAAGATAAGCAGCTCAGTGGCTGCCGCTTCGTTTCTTTAAAGGAAACGTACACTCCCTTGAAATTCCCCTGACACCCTCAGACCCCTGGAAGGAGAGGCCCGCCTGAGCCTAAAACCCACCAATTGCACAGAGGCGTCCCTTGCACTCACCTGGCCTGTGCACAGCCCCACCACTAGGTCTGCGATGAAGGTGTCCTCAGTCTCTCCGGAGCGGTGACTCACCATGACCCCCCAGCCGTTCTCCTGGGCCAGCTTGCACCTGTACCACACACCAGCTTTGACCCCAGCCCCTCACACTGGGCACTCTCCTCCCAGCCCCAACATTGGTCTGCGTTCAGAAACATCTGGAAGGAAGTTGTCTGGGAGGGAAGCAGAGCATCTGTTCGGAACCCAGAGGGAGCAGAACTGAGGGCTGTGAAGGTGACTCCAGGGTCCCTGCTCCTTTCAGCATCTGTGGGCAGGATTGGGCGTAGAGCCCTTGCAAGAGGGATCCCGAGAAGGGCTGAGCAGGAGAGAACCAGGAGGCACTCACGCTTGGATAGCTTCAGTGACCGAGCCGATCTGGTTGACCTTGAGCAGCAGACAGTTGCAGGCCTTTTCTTCCAGGGCCCGCTCGATACGCTTAGGGTTGGTCACTGTCAGGTCGTCACCCACAATCTGTATCCCTACATTGGCTGTGAACTTCGACCAGGCAGCCCAGTCATCCTGGTCAAAGGGGTCCTCAATGGAGACCACTGCAGGGAGAGGGGTGGAGGGGCTGTTGATCTTCTCTGGGACTCTGTACCAGGCAGGAACCCCACACACACATACTTTGATTCCCTGAAATAGCCAGATCCCCTGGCTAACTTAGCTGCTCCTCCTTGCTTCCCCCATCCCCAAATAAGCCTGCCCTAACGGAGTCTCATCTTGATTCATTCACAAACTTGAAAAAAAAACAAGGGTTCCAAATCTTTCTCACAACCTATCTGCATTTTCATATTTTCGCTACCAGGAAGTCCTTTCTCATTACTCATCATCATCCTTCATTCTGCAATTCATATCTAAAGCTCTGGAAGAACTGAAGGATCATTCAGTTCCTCATCAGCCTTCTGTTCTATTCACACATGACTTCCAGCTCCATTCAGCATCCACAATTTTATCTATCAAAAATACTGAAATGGCTGGCTCCTGACAGGCCCCAATCACCTTACCATCCCTGGTTTCTTCCAAAGCCTTCCCCATGACCCCAGTAGCTTCAGAGCACATGACTTTAATGAGGAGCTGAAGCAGATGGAACAAATTCATTACAAGAACCTGCACATTTACTACATACAAAGCCCAGGCTCTGCAGGAGACTTCACCCCATCCCTGGCTCTCAGTCCTTCTTAGGATACCGCCACCTGGCACCTCACGTAGCATCCCATAAGGTCCGGTTACCTGCCTGCTGCCCTCCCCCTGCACTCTCTTCCATGCCCCGCTTTGCTCTCACCAGGATAGTCCCTGACAAAGTCCTGGTAGAGGGATCCCAGCTGGTCCCCAGTGATGTATCGGGAGGGGTCAGCAGGAGACTTGAAATCCAAGTCATATTTGCCATCACGATAAAACTCTGAGGCAGCGACATCCATGCCAATGACAATTTTTTCCGTGTAGCCAGCCTTGTCAATGGCTTCCTTCACCAGCTCCAAGGCTGGGGATGAAACACAGTGAGATTATTAGCAGGAAGGGCAGACAAGGAGGAAGGAGGGAAAGGAAGAAATGAAGGGCAGTGGTAGAGCACTTGCTAAGGAGGAGTCTGGCTAAGGTCCCGGTCAAGGCTATCCCCAGGTCTGGGAAGGGCAGGCCATCTTCCAGGAAGGCAGAGGGTGCCTCCTATTAATGACAGTGTTATTTAGTTGTTGTTGTTTTAATATATTTTTATTGATTTTAGAGAGGAAGGGAGAGGGATAGAGATATAGAAACATCAATGATGAGAGAGAATCATTGATTGGCTGCCTCCTGCACACCCCCTACTGGGGATCAAGCCCACAACCTAGCATGTGTCCTTGGCCCGAATCGAACCCAAGACCCTTCAGTCTTCAGGCAGATGCTCTATCCACTGAGCCAAACCGTCTAGGGCAACAGTGTTTTTAAATCACTTATTCGGCCAAAACCAATTTGGCTCAGTGGTAGAGCGTCGGTCTGCGGACTGAAAGGTCCCAGATTTGATTCTGGTCAAGGTCATGTACATTGTTGCGGGCACATCCCCGGTAGGGGCTGTGCAAGAGACAGCTGGTTGATATTTCTCTCTCATCAACGTTTCTAGCTCTCTATCCCTCTCTCATCTTCTCTGTAAAAAATCAATAAAATATATTTTTAAAAAATAAATAAATCACTTATTTGGACTAATTATGTTTCACATATCTGATCTCATTTAATCCTCACAACAATGCTATGAAGTAGATACTGTTATTAGTGTTCCCATGTTACAGATAAGAAAGACAGAGCATGGCCTGGCCGGTGTTGCTCGGTGGTTGAGCATCGACTTAGGTTCAATTCCAGGTCAGGGTACATGCCCAGGTTGCCAGCTAGATCCCCAGTAGCGGGCATGCAGGAGGCAGCTGATCAATGATTCTTTCATCATTAATGTTTCTCTCTATCCTTCTCCCTTCCTCTCTGAAATCAATAAAAATATTTTTTTAAAAGATAAAGCATGGACAAAATAAGTAAGAAAGATCACCAGCCAGTAAGTCTTCAAATCAAAGTTCAAAGGCAGGCAGTTTTAGCCTCAGAACCTGAACTCTTAGCCAACACCAGTTTTGGGTTTTGTTTCTATTCTCTATACAGTTTCTCCCAGGGCAGAAAAAGTTAGAGATCCTCAAGGCCTATGAGGTTGGGGTGAGAATGGGATAGATTTAGAATAGATTACCTCGAGTTTGGTATATCTCATCAAAATGAGAACTCTAAGGAGTTAAAGGCTGGCATGGATCTCACAGGACACCTGACCACCTTCCAGCACTCCCAGGGGCTCCAGCAAGAACTCCTAGACGCTAAGGAGCCTGGCTGGGCAGTGAGGACTGTTCTTCCAGGCCTGCATGTGAATTTGCCAGGCCCTCTGCAGCTAGCAGGAGTCAAGGACCATCACCTATACTCCTCAGGACCTGGTTGAGTATGTGGCCCTTCCCAATGGCCCAGGATGAAGTGCGACCCAGAGCTGGGAGTGGGGGTCCTGGGCTCACCCTCACTGTTCTCCAGGATGTTGGGGGCAAATCCGCCTTCATCTCCCACGTTGGTGGCATCCTTGCCATACTTGTCCTTGATGACCCCCTTGAGCGTGTGGTAGACCTCCGCCCCAAGCTGCATGGCATCACGAAAGCTCTCGGCACCCACCGGGAGGATCATAAACTCCTGCATGGCCAGCTTGTTCCCAGCATGGGAGCCACCATTGATCACGTTGAAAGCCTGGGAGCCACAGACCAGACAGTCACTGAGCATTTTCCTTTCTGCCCCTGGGAGCATCCACCCAACATCCCAAATCCCCCCCCAGCTCCCCAGATTCCGAGTCTCGTGTCCCCATCCTTTCTCTTTAGCTACCCCAACTTCCTGTCTTCCCATCCGTCTTCACAAGGTTTCATGCTCCCCGGACCCCACCCCTGGGAGATGCGCAGGCATGGCGGGCTGCTCACCGGCACAGGCAGGATGAGGTCTGAGTTCCCAGCCAGCTGAGCAATGTGGCGATACAGTGGCAATTCCCGCTCAGCTGCCCCTGCCTTACACACGGCCAAGGACACACCCAGGATGGCATTCGCCCCAAACTTGGCTGGGAGATGACAGGAGAAGGCACTAAGCAAAAATGTCCCCTTCCCCTTCTAGCCCTGACACCACGTATACTCCCTGAAGGAGGCAATAAAGAAGACCCTCTTCTACTCCCTCCTTAGTCCATTCTCTCCTGAAATAGCAGATTTGGAGCGAGGTGACCAGAAAGGGCAGAGAGCTGTATGTATTTCTAAACATCCAAGATCAGACTATCTCAAACAAACTCCCTCCCCTCCATGCTGCAAAGAAGTTCTTCCTCCGTCTAATGGTCTAATGTCACACACACACACACACACACACACACACACACACACACACACACACCATAGTTAACTCACCTTCTCCTGCTCTGGTTTTGGGGACAGGATGAAAAGTCTACCCTCAGGAAGTTCCCACAGCAGCACTGGCCCCTTCAATTCTCTCTGCTCCACGCATCCCCACCCTCAGCCTCCCCACTTTCTCCTGACCCCTGCTTACATTTGTTCTCTGTCCCATCCAGCTCCAACATCAGGTTGTCCAGCTTCTCCTGCTCCACTACGGAGAGCCCCTGCAGGCAGAGCCACCATCACCCAGGGCCAGCATGGAGGCTGGGCCCCAAGACCCAGGCCCCCTTCACACAGGCTCACAGCCAGCCAGGGTCCAACCAGGTTCCTGTGACAGCGGCCTGTCTGGACCAGAGGGCCTGACCCCCATGGGAGCAGACAACAGTGAGGGGTCATCTTCCCACCCTTCTCTTAGTAACCATGCCTCCTCCCACCCCTTCCCTCCTCCTCTGGCCCAGGATTCTTTCTCCTGCCATCCCCAGCGGAGAGTGAGCCTCACTGAGCTGATGAGAGCTGGTGCAATGGTTGTGTTGATGTGATCCACTGCCTTCAGGACACCTGAGGAGAGGCAAAGAGGCCAGGCTGGGTCAGGCTGGGAGGGGCCAGAAGGGAGGAGAGGGAGGCAAGAAAAGACTTGGGGACTGCTGTGAGGTCAGAATATAAAGCTGAGGGGTGGGAAGGCTGGGGAAGGAGAGAAGCCTCACCTTTGCCTAAGTAACGCTGTTTGTCCCCATCCCGTAGCTCCAGGGCTTCATAAATCCCAGTGGAGGCTCCACTGGGCACCGCGGCCCTGAAAAGACCTGAGAGAGGAACACGGAGTGAGGAGGGAGAGGAACATAGAGTGAGGAGGAAGAGAGAAAGACACCAGGGACCAGGGATCCCTTAGCCCCCAGCTCTGAACTCCTGCCTGTCCCATCCAGTCCTTTCCCCCACACTGCTTCCTAATACACCAACATACACACACACACCTCCCTAAAACACACACACATGTACACACTGCTCCCTAATACACACCCATATGTACACACTGCTCCCTAACACACACATACTATTCCTAACACACACACACACACACACACACACACACACACACACACTGCTCCCTAATATACACACATATATACACACTGCTCCTAATATACACACAGACACATACACAGCTCCCTAATACACAACTACTTCCTAAAACGCACATACACACTGCTCCTAATACATACACACACATACACACTGTTCCCCAATAATAATACACACACTGCTCCTAATACACACAGAGAGATACACACAGCTCCCTAATGCACAACTACTCCCTAATCCACACACGCACACACTGCACAGATAAAAGCAAGGACCTCCTTATCCACCCAACTGAGTCCCCACGTGCACCAGTGGAAACCCAAAGAAATGCAGTTATGCACTCCTATGCTCACACACAGGTGCATACATAAACATGCAGAGGCAGAGCATGTGTCATACACTAAACTAGAACAGGAGGCCTGCCTACCCTGGCTCCCCTGGACAACAGCATCCAACCCCCACAATCCAGGCCTGAGCCTGACCAGCACCCCATCCCTGCTGGGAATCAAGGGAGCTTCCCCTTAGGCCAGGGCAAACGCAGCACTAAGGGGTGGGGTGCGGGTTGAGGTGGGGTTGGGTGAGGGCTGGGCTCGGTACGGGCCAGCTCAGTACCTTTGGCAGTGTAGAGATCCACCTCCACAGTGGGGTTTCCACGGGAGTCCAAGATCTCCCGAGCCCAGATCTTCGTTATCGACATGATGGCTGGGATCTCCTTGGGTGGAAGGGAATAAAGGAGAAAGGTAAGAGGCTTAGAGGGGTGGAGCCTGAGGTGGTGGGCGGGGCCAGAGGCTAGGGAGGATGGGAAAAGGGTTACCGCAGTGGGTGGGGGTGGGGAGGGGCAGGCCGCTACCACAGGCTGCAGAGGGGATCCCCACCCCTTCCAGGGGGATAGGAGAAGGTCAATGCAGTGAGGAAGGGGAGGTCACTGCAGTGCGGGGCAGGGTAAGAGCCACCTCTGAGGCGGGAGGACACCGCAGTGAGGGGGAGGGGGCCACGGTTCCCTCTCCCCTCCGCAGCTTGGCCAGCCGGCTGGCGGGGTTCGCCCAGACCTCCTCAGGGAGGAATGGCTGCCAGGCTTGCCTTTCTCCTTGGAGCCACCAAGAGGGTGGGCAGCCTGCACAGCTGAAACCTTCACTCAGAGCCCTGTTCCACCCAACTTAACACCCAGCCCCCTCTCCCAGGTCCCAATCTCCCAAACGTGCGTCCCTCTCCCACCGATGCACAGTGCAGAGGTCTGGAGAGGGTCCTAGGAAAGCCCTCCGGCCCTGGGGGTCTCAGCGGGGAGGGAGGAGGAGGAGAGACCCGAGCGGTGAGGCCGGGATGGGCCCTTCCTCCCGCCGCCCCGAGACAAATCCTCCCCTCCGGCCCGGCGCGCAGTGGGGGAGGAGGGGGCGAGGGAGTCTAGACTCAGAGGATGCTGCGGAAGGAAAGGAACACAACCCTTAGTAGCAAAGCCAGGAGGACGTGCAGTATAAAAATGCACAGCCGGATGCGTGTGATAGGGGGGGGGGGAGGGGGGGGGGGAAGAGACCCCAAACTTAATGTCCACAGGAGCGGAGATGCAGCGGGACAGGCCAGGGTGGAGAAGGGTTGGAGCCCAAATGAGGAGCCGAGCGGAGCGGGAAGGCAGGGCAGGAGGGAGCGGGGAGGCGCGGGGAGGAGCAGGTGCGCAGCGCCCGGGAGAGATGCGCGCGGCCAGGGGAGCTAGCGGGGGCGCAGGGCCGGGCACAGGCCCGAGGGTCGCAGGGCCGGGGAGGGCTTCACCTCGGGGCTGCAGACTCAGCCTGTGGCGGTGGCGATGGCAGTGGCAGTGGCAGTGGCGGCGGCGGCGCAGAGAGAGCGGGAGTGGCGGCGGCGGCGACTGCGGCTCCGGGCGGCGGGCGGGGGGTAGGAGGGGGGCCGGCACCGATAGGGCCGGGCGGGCGCATGTGACCTGGAGCCCCCGTGAGTCAGGAGCCTCCGGCAGAGGCGCATGGAGGAGTGCGGGTGGGGGGCCGGTGGGGGCCGATGGGGGTGCAGTGGGGGAATGGGAGGGGGAAAGTGATGAGGGAGGGATTGGGGGCGACCCAGAGCCTGCCTTTTCCAGCGCCCACGCACGCTGCTGCCCACGACCCGACCCCCTGGAAAGTAACTGGCACAGCCGCAGAGTAATTTGATTCCTGAGGCCCGCCACAGCCAGGAAAGCCCGCGATAGGCTCTCCCGTACCCGGTCAAGTCACAAAAGTATCAAAATATCTCTTTATTCGAAAACTGAGCTGTTCTGCAGGCAACTGGATCTGCCTGAAGATGCCCACTTCTAGGCTACAGGCAGACCTCGAGCCCACCCACCCCTCTGCCCAGGTGCCCACACAGAGCCTGGGCGGCAGGGCAGGCTGTGATGAACCCCAGTCAGGGCTGAGAGGTCAGCCGCTGTCTCCTGTGCTGGGTCCTGCCAATGGAGGCTTGGGGGTCTTGGAGGTCTTGGGGGCCGGTGTCTTTGATCCCCTGGAGGAAGGAACAGAAGTAAACCCTCTGGGCCCACTGCATTCCCACTGCTGCCTCTGCCCCCATCTATGCCCAGCTGCTACACTTCCCTGGGCTCATCTGCTCAGCGCCTCGCCTCACCCTGCCCTCCTTTCTCCCCCTACCCTGTGTCCTGTTATTTTTAGTTTCAGATTTTTAGTGTAGGCTCTTGCTCTGCTGCCTTCTCTCCTAGGCCCAGCTGCATTCCTCATACACCACCACCACCTCCCCACCACTACCACCACCTTGCTGCAGCCCTGGCCTTCGCAGCTGATCCTCTTTAGCTCAGTTATGGCTGCCACCTCACACCAACAGCTATGCCTCCCTCCCCAATTCTTTTCACTTATTCTTCTGGCTTCTTGATGCTTTTCCTCAGCTCTTTCTAAGTCCCGCTGGTCTTTCCTCCTCACCCTGAGACACCCCCTGACCCCTAACTCTCATCTCTCCAAGGGTTGTCTTTGATTCATCCCTTCCTCACCCACCTTCTCCCACAGCAGCTTTGCCTTCCCCCTAAGTGCCAGGCCCCTGGCCTCCTCTTCCTGCCCCCCTGCTGGCTTCCTTACAATCCGTGATGGCGAGAAGAACTGCTGCTGCATCTATGGCTGGTCCGGTCCCATATCACCCTCAGCATCCTGCTCCTGCTCCTCCCTCATCCTCTGGCGAATCTCATTGGCCTCAGCCCGATCCTCCTCCTCAAAGAATTCCTTGTCCAGACGTTCCAGTTGTGGAATATGCACCAGGGCCTCCTGGCGGTAGTCAGTCTCATCTGTACACGGGTTGTCCAGCAGCACCAAGGCTCGAAGCTTGGGCAGGTTCTGGATCTTGGTGAGCTCCTGCAGGTTGGAGATCATGTTGCCCCTGTGGGTACAGTCAGGAGGGGTTCATGGGAATGATCTTGGAGGCTAGCTGCCATGAATGGAGCTTCTGGGGGACTCTCCCATGGGCTCCAGCTTCCCTAGAAACACTATGGATCGGCCTGCCAAGCATTGCCAGATTTGCTGCAGAATTGCTGTCCTGTTCTGCTTCTGTTCTTCAAGGAATCCCTAAGTGCCATATTCTATTCTGTAATGTGTCCTATTTATCCTTCAGATGCAGCAAAGCTAGGTCACAACCCAGTCTTGTAGTTGGGGAGGAGGAGGGAATCTCCCTTGCAGAGACAGACTTCTGTGTTAATCACACCTAGTCAGAGGTTAGAAGGACTTGGGGCAGTGAAAAGGGACTGGGATTGATGCTCAAAGTAGTGAGTGCTGTGTCATGCCCCCCCCTGGAAGGAACCTAGAGGTGAGGGTGGGCTGGGGCCTCCCAGCCTGAAGAACAAGCTTCATCTTCTAATATGTCTCCTCGAACAGTTATTTTCATGTGTTTGCTTCAAGCCTTTATGAAATCAGGTTATTTTTATTTTTTTAAATATTTTATTGGTTTTGTACAGAGAGAAAGGGAGAGAGATAGAGAGTTAGAAACATCAATGAGAGAGAGTCATCGATCAGCTGCCTCTTGCACACCCCCTACTGGGGATATGCCCGCAACCAAGGTACATGCCCTTGACCGGAATCGAACCCGGGTCCCTTCAGTCCCCAAGCCGACGCTCTATCCACTGAGCCAAACCGGTTTCAGCTGAAATCAGGTTTAAATGTTTCCATTTTATCTCAATGGATGTGCTGAACCTCATGCTGTATTTCTCACTGGGAGCGCTGCATGCACTTGGTGCTGGACTGCCCTGTGCATTGCAGGAGGTTTAGCATCTTTGGCCCCAGAGGCACCTCCTAGTCGTTGAGACAATGCAGCCCCACTGTTTTACTTCCAAACTCCCCAGTGAACAGCCACTGAAAAGGGTCCACCATCCCTGCCTAGGCTATTGACAGGAACACAGAAGCCCCTCCACCTTCCAGACCAACGTGGCAGAGCTAATTAGCAAGAGATTGCTCCATGAATTAAGGTTGGAGTTGGGGTTCAAGGTGCAACCACTTCTCCTACTTGAAAATTCTATTCTGTTTCCAGGGCCAGTCTTTTGTGTGTGTGTCTGTTTAAAAATATATATATATATATATTGATTTCAGAGAGGAACGGAGAGAGAGATAGAAACATAAATGATGAGAGAGAGCCGAAACCGGTTTGGCTCAATGGATAGAGAGCGGGCTTGGGGACTGAAAGGTCCCGGGTTCGATTCCGGTCAAGGGCATGTACCTTGGTTGTGGGCATATCCCCAGTGGGAGGGGTGCAAGAGGCAGCTGATCGATGACTCTCTCTCATCGATGTTTCTAACTCTCTCCCTTCCTCTCTGTACAAAATCAATAAAATATATATTTTTTAAAATGATGAGAGAGAATCATTGACTGGCTGCCTCCTGCATGCCCCATACTGGGGATCAGGGATCAAGCCCACGAGCTGGGCATGTGCCCTGACTGGGGATCAACCCGGGAACCTGGGAATCAAACAGTGACTTCCTGGTTCATAGGTTGATGCTCAGCCACTGAGCCACGCTGCCCAGCTCCATTGCCAGTATTGACTAAAGAGGCCTTGTTGACTAAGGAGGCAGTATCTTACCTCTTTGCTTAAGGAAACACACACAAAATCCACCATCAGGCAAGAATTGCTGAGAGAAAATCTTTGATCCTGAGTGCTTTTCTATCTAGAGATTCCCTATCAAATATTCTCTGCTCACATCTGAGCACATCTTATGTTTTATATAAGGAAAGGAACCTTATATGTGGGGCTCAGGATAAGAGGGACCATCTCTGGTGTCTTTAAATGTTCCTGAAACATTGAAACACGGGAGGCGGCATACAGCACGTTCTCAATAACTGTGGGTTAAATGCATAAGGACTTGGGGGTCTCGGGCAATAAAGATCTCAGTGTTATAATTAAGATTGTTATAATGCAGAAAAAAGTAAGGAAAGGAAGGATGAGGATCAGGATGGAGGATGAGGTGAGAATCTGAAAATGGGCTAGGATTGGGGGATTGGGACCGGGAAGAACACAGTCAAAAGCTGCTCCTGATGAGGGGAAGGAACAAGGTGGGGCCTGGAGGTGGGTGCATACCTCAGGTTGAGGTACTGCAGTGCTTTCAGTTCCTCGGAGAAGCCAGTCAGACTGTCAATCTGGTTGTCTCTAAGATGCAAGGTAGTGAGGTTCTTTAGGTTATCCAAGCCTTCCACCCTCTTCAAGAAATTCTGGGCCTAGATTCCAGGATACAGTAGATATATTGGGAGAGGAATAGGGAAAGAAGAGAAGTCAGAAAGAGATGCAACAGAAGAGGAAATCTAAGAGGAAGAGAGGTAGGTAGGAGTAGAGATGGGTAACGAGAGTAAAGAAATCAGGAGAAGCTGTCCAACCAGAGAAAGGTCAGCAGTAACTTCCTACTGACTGCTCATCCCACCAAAGCCACCTCTGATTGAGGCGGCAATGTCTTAACCCACCCGGGTCTCAGAGCCCCACTGTTCTTCTGAGGAGAATTACTTCAGCCCCATCCTGCAATGAGGAAGCTCAAGAGTCTAAAGGACTAGACATTTAGGTGGCCTAAATGTCTGATCCTCAGTTATGGCACATTATGCTGCTACCTCTGTCAAAGCAAACTGTTTGTGTATTACCCACACATGGTGTGTTACCGGCGATGCCAAGTGGTTAGCCCCTTGTTTGTTTTAACTTTGCTTCGCCCCAGCATCTGGCATCTCAGTAAATGATGCCAATTATCATCATGATGACAAAGTTAGTAGCTGAGCCTAGAAGCCAGGCAATCCTGGCCCCCAGCACAGTGCCATCTTCCCTGCACCCCCCACCCTCTGACCCAGGGAGCTACCAGGAAGAGGTTCTTCAGCATAGGAAGATTGATTCCTATTGTGGTTTCCAGTTGGTTCCCTCGAAGCTCCAGAGTGTGCAGGCTGATCAGCTTTTCGGGGTCCAGACCTGTCACCGAGCGGATGTGGTTCCCTGAGGAGCAGGAGGGTGTCAAGAGTGCAAAGTGCCACTCCGAAATGTTCAAAGCACAGCCTGTGTCGGGAGCCTCTGCATCTTTCTCTCCAATGCCAGTTGGATATGAGGAGAGACAAGTCCACACTTAACACCTTAAGGGCCCTGGGCCAGTGTCTGGTGGATTTGTCCACCCAGCAATGACTGACTAACTCTCTCTCCTTCCCCAATTCTGTTCAAATGTTAGCTTTGCAATGATACTTGTCCTAACCCAGTGGTCGGCAAATCATTCGTCAACAGAGCCAAATATCAACAATACAACGATTGAAATTTCTTTTGGAGCCAAATTTTTTAAACTTAAACTTCTAATGCTGCCACTTCTTCAAAATAGACTCACCCAGGCCATGGTATTTTGTGGAAGAGCCACACTCAGGGGGCCAAAGAGCCGCATGTGGCTCACGAGCCGCAGATTGCCAACCATGGTCCTAACCAATCTGTCAGAAATTGCCACTTGTGCCTCCATTCCTTTTACCCTAATCTATTTTTCCCATAGCCCATATCTCCTTTAACTTGCTGAATGAATTTACTTATTGTGTTTGTGTTCACTGTCTGTCTCCCCCATCTAGATTGTAAGCTGCCTGAGAATACCTCCACTACATAGAACTGCCATATGAGTCAGAATGTGCCTGAATGAATGAATACAAGTTGCTGGGTGGCACAGCCAAGGACCACACTACTCACTGCTGTTGGCCGCAAGCTAGGAAGGAAGGAATCTGTGTAGCCCTTTCCTCGGACCCACCTTTGAGATTCAGGATGCTCAGACGAGGATGAGTGATGCCCTCCGTGTCAGTGATCTGGTTATAGGCAAAGCTGGCAATCTGCAGGTAAGGCAGTTCACTCAGCTGGGCGCTCCGCAGCCGGTTGCCGTCAGCCTTGAGCCAGAGCAAGTGGGTGAGGTGATTGAGTGCGGACACGTCTGTCAGATGGTTCTCAGAAATATCCACATAACGCAGATGGATGTAGTTTCGCAGCAAGTGGATGTCTGTCAGTTCTCTAGGGGATGGAAGAGGCCATGGCTAAGGGTGAGAATCTAGCAGAGACTGGCAGAGATGCTGAAGCAGAAGGCAATATGGAGATGGCTTATAAGGGGGAGAAGAATGGGTGACAGATAGGAGTGAAGAGGAGACGAGAAGGTAGATGGATCCTTAATAGTGGCCAAGGACCTGTGTCTTTGAGGAGCTGAGACCTTACACTCAGAAGGACAAGTGAGGAAGTCCAGCAGGAATCCTACATTCCCTCTCACAGCCTTCAATCCTCAGGCCAGCCCTGAGGTAGGGAGTCCTGGGCTCCTGAAAAGTAAAGTTGACCCTTCCCTCCCACTGATCCAGGATACGAGAGATCCAGACTCTCAGAGAGATCAAGACTCTCAGCTGAAACTCCCAGGAATGAGGGTGAGAAAGGAGACTGGACCCTACAACCTCATTTCTCATCTTCCCCCCATCCTCCAGCTCCCTACCCCGCAATGCACCTTTCTTTAACCTCCAGCTTGACATAAGCATGGGCCAATCCATTGCCGGTCTTACAGAGCAAAGAAAGCCCTTCCTTCATCATGTCCTCAGTGAGGGGTGTCGGCATCCACTGCAGGAGGAAGTGCAGTCAGGCATCCCTTTCCAGCCCAACCCTCTCCTTAGCCCTAGGACCACTCCATTTCCATGCTCTCACTTCCTCTGATAAGTCTTCCTCCTCTTTCCTGTCTTCGTCCCACTCTTCTGTCTCCTTATCTTCGTCCTCCCTGTCCAGATCTTCCTGGTCTGGCTCAAAATCTTCCAGATCTTCTTCATCTGACATCTTTCTTCCCTGCTGAAGGCTGGCGTCCGATCAAGCTGGGTCCTCCACCTGAGAAAGAAGGTCTCCTCAGCCCCTGCCAACCCTCAGCTCTCTCACCTCCACCGATGGGGTATTGCCCTCCCATCACCTTTGATCTCTTCCCAAGTATGCTTCTTTCCTCATCCCTATGAGCATTTCATTTTGACTCCCATCCTCCACTCCACATTTCCCATCAAGGACCCCCTCTCTTTCCAGAATGCCTTTCCAGAACCCTGAGACCTTTCTGCCTTTTCCAATGGCTCCAACTCTCCTCCAGCAGCTGTCTCCCTGCTTCCTGGACTCCCCTTCTTCCCCCCCCCCGCCCCCCCCGCAATTCTTCCCATCTCCATTTTAAATTAAGCCGCGTCCTCCTCCACTCTTCCTTACAGACCGTCCCTTTCCCTTTCAGCCCTAAGCCCTGCTCCACTCGTCTTCTAACTTTCCCTCCTGCTTAGCCCCCTTCCCTGTCCCCTGGGGACACCAGCCTGACAGTCTCCAATCCTCCCACTCAATCCTCCTTCACAGAAAGGGAGCGGACTCCGGCTCCGCTCAATTACAAGCAATGCTGGAGAGGCCTTGGCCCCAGTGAAAGATTGTTTTGCTAGATGGGAAAAGGGAACGGAGGCGTTGTGTATTGTTGTTATGACAACCGGGGGGCGGGGCACTGGACGTCCGCAGTTGACAACCGTTGAGAGAGGAGCCGCCACTAACTGAACTGGGTCAGTTGATAAGTTACAAACCCACTTTCTCCAACCCAGGAACCCGGATGAAGGGCGTTAATTGGTGGGGGGGAGGGGGAGGAGGGAGGGAGCAGTGGGCGGAGCTTAGAACTGTGCAGAGGTAGGGGGAAGGGCGGGGCTGTCCATTACATCACCTGAGACCTTAAAGGGACAGGACATCCGCAAAGCAAAGTATTGTGAATTCAAAAGAAACACAAAAGGCGGGTAAAAGTACCAAGGTAAGTGGTCTCGTTCCCCCATCCCCACCTAATCCCGCCCCCATAGGTCCTGTCCATCGTTACTTTCAGGCCGACTTCGGATTGGAAGCTCAGGCCCAAAGTATCCTAGAGACCTGAGTTGGAGTCTTGACAGATCTGCAGTTTATTAGCAACTTACCTAAGACTCCACTTTCTCTGTAAAATCGGCTTAACTATACCAACTGTCGGGGACTAAGTATGAGTCTAATCTACCCTAAAGTGCTGTACAGATTGCTAAACCCAGTTTGGGAACATTTTACTCCTCATATCCTGAACTAGTTTGGCGCAAACCTTTTGGGGAGAAAATCCAACATGTGCCCATTAAAACACTCACACAACGTTGTTATATTAAATAATCAATGAGAACTGATAAAGCCAAACCCAGGCATTCAGGCCTGTGTGACTTGTTGAAGGAGATGAAAAGAGAGAGGCTGAGTTGCAACAAATATTTGGTGCCAGACATTGTGTGAGGTGCCTTTACAAGTGACATTTAATCTCCACACCAGTCCTGTGAGAGAGATATTTGAAAGAAGACCCAAGGAGGTTAATATTTATGACACAATTCCTGCCTGAAAGAAGGGCGAGAACCAATCTTGTGGAATTCTGTATAATAAGAGAGGAAATACTAATTATTCATTATGCCTTGAGGTATAACAACCTAATGTGTAATGAATGGATAACGGATCTGCAGGAGGGTGGGCCAGTGAACTACAAGTGGGCAACGGAGAGCTACAGGAGGGGGCAGGGCAGCAAGCTATGAGGTGGGGGAGAGAGGAGGGCAGGGGGGAGCTGCAGGAGGGTGGCAGCGACCTACTGGTGCACAGATTCATGTGCAGAGCTATCAGTCTAATTTATTTATTTTTAAATATATATTTTATTGATTTTTTACAGAGAGGAAGGGAGAGGGATAGAGAGCTAGAAACATCGATGAGAGAGAAACATCGACCAACTGCCTCCTGCACATCTTCCACCGGGGATGTGCCTGCAACCAAGGTACATGCCCTCGACCGGAATTGAACCCGGGACCCTTCAGTCCGCAGGCCGATGCTCTATCTACTGAGCCAAACCGATTTCCGCTATTAGTCTAATTTAAATAAAACAAAGTAAGCTATTATGTGATTAATTGTGAAATCATTCATTACAGATAGTAAAGTAATCTGATGGAAAATGTGGTGGGCTGGAAATCAGGAAATATTATCTCCTGCCCTGACCAGCTTGGGTAATATTATTAACAGACAAATCTGTTTTAACATAGATTTGTTAAGCACTCTGCACCAGGATGTGCCTACTGGGGAGGTAAGGACAGTAAAATAGTGTTCCTGTCTTCAAGGGCCTTCCAGTCCAGTGACAAGGTTAAGTAAACAAGTATTAATTCAGTACAATGAAACAGATGTCACAATAATCATACCCTTCACATACAGAGCTTTTACAAAGTGCCAGGGGTCATTTTATAGTACATGTGTTTTCATAATACCCTATATCCAGTGCAGAGTCCAGACAGAGGAAGCACCTTTGGGAAGGCACCTTTGGGAAGAGCTCAGAGGCTGGGCAAGGAGAGCAGGTAGCTCTGCTGGCTGGAACGGTAGGTGCACTTAAGGGTGAGGTAGGAGCAGCAAACAGCAAGCACTAAGGAATGAAGACTTTATCCTGAAAGCTGTGAGGAACCATTGGGGTGTGGTTTTGTGTTTCATTGGCAAAGACTGAATCTGCACTGTGCAATGAGAGCTAGACACGCCATCCTTCTTGATGAGACACTTCCCCAGTAGCTGGTTTAAATAGAATCTCATTGGACTATAAAAGTACTAATTTAATTAAAATAAAAATAGAGAAGTGCATAAGCGGAATATGAAAGTCCATGATCTCACCAAAACCGGCTTGGCTCAGTGGATAGAGTGACTGCCTGTGGACTGAAGGGTCCCAGTTTCGATTCCGGTCAAGGGCATGTACCTTGATTGCAGGCACATCCCTTGTGGGGGGTGTGCAAAAGGCGGCTGATTGATGTTTCTAGCTCTCTATCCCTCTCCCTTCCTCTCTAAAAAAATTCAATAAAGCATATTTAAAAAAAAAGAAAAGAAAGTCCATGATCTCTCTCAGCACCACTCTCATTTTTAAATAAAGTTAATGTATTAATAAACATATTTTAAGGCCGAAACCGGTTTGGCTCAGTGGATAGAGCGTCGCTCTGTGGACTGAGGGGTCCCAGGTTCGATTCCGGTCAGCGACATGTACCTTGGTTGCGGGCATATCCCTTGTGGGGGATGTACAGGAGGTAGCTGGTCAGTGTCTCTCTCTCATCGATGTTTCTAGCTCTCTATCTCTCCTTTCCTTCTCCTCTGTAAAAAAATTAATAAAATATATTTTTTTAAAAACATTTTAAGAACAAAAGTTGTATCAATCATACATACCGTTCATCAACTGGGTTAATGACATTTAATAAAATGTGTTGGACATCTTTCATGTCACTAAACATACACTGAATGACCAGATTATTATGATCTCTGAACGCATAATAATCTGGCCAATCAGTGTATAACCTATATAATAAAAAGCTAATATGCGAATTGTCCCCTTGACCAGGAGTTCGACTAGCAAGCAGACTGGCCAACTTGCCCATGTCCTCACTCCCCCCCCCCCCCAGGCTGGCCAGACCTCACCTATGCACGAATTCATGCACCGGGCCTCTAATATATATACACACACACACACACACACACACACACACACACACTGAGTGGCCAGATTATTATTTATTATGCATTCAAAGATAATAATAAGAGAGGATCCAAGATGGCTGCTCGGGTAGACATCTAGCCGCGGCAGCACACAACAATTTCAATGGAATACAACTAAAATGTAGAGTGGACATTGCCCAGAGCTACAGGTAGTCGACTGACTGAAATTTCTACAACAAGAAGGAAAGAGAAAACCAGAAAGAAAATCAGAGGAGCTGAAAAAAAGCCTAAGGTACGGAGGCATGCTGCGCGCGCCTGCCCGCCCGCACGCGCACACGGAGAGGTCGCAGCCGGAGAGGAGGAGATGGCGGGGAGCTGCCTTTCCTTCCCTAGCAGGAAGGAAATAAAACCCCCAGCCTGGGCTGAACCCCCGAACCGGCAGCGCTGAGCCCCCCCGAACCGGCAGCGCTGAGCCCCAGTTATGGGCCAGACCCTGGGGACCCAGGCTCCGGCGGGAGGAGACAGGGCCGTGAGGCGGAAAAACGGCGAAAGGCAGGGCCCCGGGAGTCGCGCGCAATGCGCGCAGAGGACTGAATGTTGACTCTGATGCTGGGTTGCCCTAGCCGGAAGAAACAAGGCCTCCGGCGGCGCTGGGCCTCAGTCCGGACTGCTCCGAACCCCAGTTCTGGGCTAATCCCTGGGGACCCAGGCTCAGGCAGAGGGAGACGGGGCTGTGAGGTGGAGTCCAGGGAGAGCAGCGAAAGGCCGGGCCCCCAGGACTCGCGCAAACTGCGCGCAGAGGACAGTCTGTGGGACTCGCGCAAACTGCGCGCAGAGGACAGTCTGTTGACTCTGATGCTGGACTTCCCTAGAGGGAAGGAGAAAAAAAAAGCTCCAGGCTGGGGGAACGTGGAGGGGAGCGGAAGCCCCTGCCGGACTCCAGCCAACCGGGCACCAGCAAGGAGGCGGGCCACGGGGCCCCTGGGGACGTGGGTGCCCCTGAGCCTTTGACCACTGAGCTCGGGCAATGGAGCCAAGGCCGGGGGCTGCTTCCTGGGCGGCGCCGTCCCGGCAACAGGCTGAAGCAGCACAGGAGCCCGCGGAGAACAAAGGAGTGCCACAGGCCAACCTGCTGAGCTCCCAGGACAAGGAGGAAGAAACCAAAGAAGTTCTCAATGTGAAGAAATCAAGTGAGAGCAAAAAATAGTAAAATTACTTAAGAAAGAATACAAAGAAGATCTTGAAAAATCAAAGACTAAGTCAGAACTCAACTCACCAGCCAACATTGCAACATAAATGCGTTTTAAAAAGAAAAAAAAAAGGACAGAATGTTG